GGGGGGGGGGGGGGGGGGTATTTTGCAAACTAGATTTAAGAAAAAAATGATAAAAAATACATTGATTCAAACACAGTGGGTTTGCCCGCAGGGTCGGGGGTCATTCACGGAATCATTCTCATGCTGGTAGTTTACGAGCCCAGCCAAAATTCTTAAACTTGGCATTAAAAGTGTTGCTGTGGTACAGCGTCGGCTCAACGTACCGGCCACACGGGCAGTTTCCCCGGGGCACCATGCGGTTAAGGCGCCATCAACGATCTTCCAAAATAGGGAAAAGCGTTGGATGTGGGGGCGCCATGGAAGAAAAATAGAAAGTGCAAAAAAAACCACACACACAAAAAAAACAAAAAACAAACAAACAAATTTGCTGATCTAAAGACAAGGAAAATAAATGTCATCGGTAGGCTAATTGTTCATGCTGTCCAAATATAAGTTAAGAAAAACAATACAATTGTTCATGCTGTCCAAATATAAGTTAAGAAAAACAATACAATTGTTCATGCTGTCCAAATATAAGTTAAGAAAAACAATACAATTGTTCATTGTAGGCTTTAAAGAAAATATTTTTAAAAATTTTGAAAAGCAACCTAGGTAATAAATTAATTATCTAACCCCTAGTTTTTTCCGTGCAATAATTGTATGTTTATGGCTGTACTTAAAAGGGGTGCCAAAATTAAGTTATCCTGGGGCACCAGCAATCTTAGGGCTGGCCCTGGTGTGGTACAGAGATATCAGAGCGCGGAGCTAATTTGTTAAAACAATATTGTCAGTGACTATAGTAACATTGAGTATACCTACAATACTAAAGTAACACCGAATAAAAAAAATAACTAATTAATTATAATAACGCGACTTAGTTATCTTCCAATTACCAACTTGACCGATCCTTTTTCTCACAGGACCAGAATATTTTCCACCGTAGGGAACTCTACGACGTCATCAGGGAGGCACAGACCGGATGGCGGAGAAACAGCAGGGCCGGCTTCACCCTGGACATCAGCAGGCTAAGCGCGAGGGTCACTCGAGGGCCGAACGCCGTGGACATCACGAGCCTGTTTCGGTCCAGTGGCGCAAATGCGGCCGTGACCAGATCGCTGTCCGATGGTCATCTCCAGACCATCAGTGATGGCCCCGAGCCGCGTCTGGTTGCTGAACCATCCTCCGCAACAGAGTACAGCTACAAGGAGCTGCCTGGAAACGACCCTGATGAAAAGAAGAGCGCTGTAGTGGAAAATAATTTTCTTAGCACTTCTGATGACGAATCGTTTCGCAAAAGCATCTTCACTGGTCAGTGCGCCGTCAAACAAAGCTCCGGTGACCACTTGGACATGGTGCCGAGGGCGAGGAACAAAAGTATCATCCAACTATTGAGTGAATCGCTCCAAAAACTGAACGTCGACAACGGGGAACCGAATTTGACGGACTTCGAATACACCGTCCTGTCGCCACTTGGTCCCGCTGAGTTGAACTCGGCGAGCGGAGATATGGAACACGATGAAACGTACACGAGTCAAGCTGATCCCGACAGCACGACACAGCCGCAAGGCGGTAAGAGATGGTCCAGAAACAGACCAGGATCCTTACAACGTGAGCAGCCGTTAAGTTTTGACCAAGGGTACATGAGCGAGGAGAAGGAGCAGGAAGCCGCTGGCCGATTCAGCACCCAACTTTCTGAGCCCTGCGATACCGCCAGGCTTCGCAGCTCGCCCGCTGCTTCGGGATCTGCTTCTATCAAGAAGAAGAAGACGCTTAGTTTTATTTCTCTAAACAGCTTCCGGCGGTCTAAAAAGATGAGAAAGGTCGGCACGAATGATGAAAGTGCCAGAAGGAGCGGCGGTGTGTCCAGGCGAGACAGTGAGGGGTTTTTCCCGGATGATGATTTCGGGGTTCAAAATTCTTTCCCCGAATATACGCTAAACGTTAGGCCACCAAGAGGCCAGGCCAAGGCACAGGACGACAGTATCAGTATTTATTAGGACTTAAATGGCATGCCGAAATTGTCGGACAAAGAGGAATTTTTTTTCCGACTATGTTTTTAACAAAGTATTAAAAGTACAAAGTGTATATAAAATTTATGTGCGGAAAATAGAGCATATTATGTAAAGGGAATCTGATGCCGAACTCATGTTACTAAATTCAAGATGGCTGTTCTCGAGCGAGCACGTCCTTGGCGTGTTTATACCCCAGACCCAAAATAGAGGTTTGACTTATTTTTTTTAGTAAGATATTTGAACAGAAGCATATGCGCGACATATTTTGGTGAGCTGAATGTGGATTATTGGTCTAACTAGAGCGTTAGGCCAGTGTTCGGGGTGTTCCAATGTGTCGTAAGCCAATTTTCTCGTAATGCTAATAAATATTATTGTTAATATAATGTATTTCAGTTGTCAATAATAATATTCTGAGATGCCGTGTTTATTTTTGCATTTAGCACAACATCCACGCGCAATGCGTTCCCATTGCCTACCAGCATTAATATGCGCAATATATGTTCTTTAGGAAAGAGCCTTTTTTTTTTTTTTTTTTTTTTTTTTTTTTTTTTTTTTTTTTTTTTTTTTTTTTTTTTTTTTTTCTTTTTTTAAATAAGGCTTTCACAGTAGCCTTATTTTGTAGAGAAAGCTGCACCATTTGAATAAGTGAGTAGAGGAGAAAATAATTTGCTTTGTTTGTTTCAGTTTTAGCACAACATCCACGCGCAATGCGTTCCCATTGCCTACCAGCATTAATATGCGCAATATATGTTCTTTAGGAAAGAGCCTTTTTTTTTTTTTTTTTTTTTTTTTTTTTTTTTTTATTAGGTTTTTCCAGTAGCTTTTTTTTTTTTTTTTTTTTTTTTTTCTTTTTTTAAATAAGGCTTTCACAGTAGCCTTATTTTGTAGAGAAAGCTGCACCATTTGAATAAGTGAGTAGAGGAGAAAATAATTTGCTTTGTTTGTAACAGGAAATGCTAGAGCAGGGGTTCTTAACCGGGGCGATCCTATAAAAGCAGCCCCTCAAAATATAGAAAAAGTTCCGCAGGGGTGAAACATTTCAAAAAGACGAATTTAGCGTCCCTCTTTTCTTTGTCAAGCATTTGGAATTTATGTTTTAATTATTATCAAGTTTCTATCTAAATATAACTTTGTGATGGCTGCACCCTTTGCCGCCCCCCCCCCTTTTTCACAGGACCCTGTGTAAGTTTGTTTACTGTAAACCTATAAAGAAAAAAAGATATGTCATTGAAGAAAAAAAAAATTAACAGGAACAAAAAAAAAAAATCTGTGTAAGTTAGTTTACTGTAAACCTATAAAGTAAAAAAGATATGTCATTGAAGAAAAAAAAAATTACCAGGGACCAAAAAAAAAAATGCCACCGGGAACGTCAAAACACAGAAAGACAGCGTAAAGTGAAAAGATGACAACGATGCTCGGATAAAAAAAAATTAAAAAATATGCGGAACAAAGCACAATGAAAAATGAAACATCTTAAATAACAGTTTTTTCCAATTACTAATATTATTCGATACAGACCATTAATATTCAGTGGCGGAGTTAGGATTACTTCCGCCCGTGGTAGGCCAAATATTTTGACGCCCCCCACCGACGAGAAAAAGTCGTTTGGCGAAAATCTCACCCTTCAAGTTATAGAAAAAAATTGCTGCTCCTGACCGCACCCATTTCCTGCCACTATTAATATTTTAAAACTCTTTCTAACAACACAATATAATTTTGTGCATCCCTTTTCTTGTTCTTTTGGTAGTTCAATTATTTGAATCTTACCACTTTGTTCAGGTGCCAATTTTAAAAAAATTATATTTGGGGCTAAGCATTTTAAAAGTTCAAATAAATTTAATCTAATGAGGTTGGTTATTTTTTTTTAATGAATGCATAGTTCTCCTATTATTGGTTATTCCATACGGTTAGAGGCACTAGGGACACTAAGGTGAACAGTGGGAACAAAAAAAATTGAGCACATATGAAAGTGAGTGATATGTGAAGACTTATACTAAATAAAATAAACGTAAACATTGAAATGCGTGGAGAAATTCTATAATTATTAACTCCTTAACTCAATTTAAAATGTTTAATTAAATAAATAACTCTTTGCGTCCCCCAAATCTCAAAGCTATCTACGTTGGTTTCATGCTTTTCGGCAATTGGCGGAACCTTAACTCAAAAATTGGTTGAATAGCTTGCCTACACAAAGAAATGAGGAAAGACCTCATTTACATTTAACAACAAACCTGTTGAAGGCTGATTTTGGTTGATATTGATACTTTTCCCAATTATTTAATGTGTAAGGCATTATTGTTTTAGTTCATTTTGTCTCCAGTTATGTTCTTTATCTTCTAAATGTAAATATTGTCCGGTGAATTGGGCTTATTCGGCTAGGCTTAGTTTTGCTCACTCAAGTCCTCTCAGTTGGTACCAGTTAATAATAGTTGGTTATTTACTAACTGGTACCATTCAAAAAATTGTTACATATATCAAGGCTCAGGGAGGCGTTCAACCAACTAACATTTAAAACACTAGATCTAATCAGCCAACTTGACTTAGCAATAATAGAGTAGGAACTGGAAAGCATCATTTTAAGTGAAGCCTAAGCCTAAGCATGCCTTCATTTTCATCATTTAAATATTAAATCAGCAAATCTATCTTTTAAAAGTTAAAACATGTGGGTAAATAAACTTATGTCTTGGGCCATTAATTATTAAATAATTAGGCAACTTATGCACCAGTTGGTCAAATTTAAAAGTTTGGTGAAATGTGTTTATATTATGAATGATATATGACCAAAGAAATAAAATATGCATTCATCATTCATAATCATTGAATAATAATGTAATTGATAAGGCAATTAGTTGCAAGGAATAGAAACCAGGCCCATATATGACGGCAAAGTGAACAATAAAATATATAAACTATATAGCTGTGAGTTTCCTGACTCAGTTTGCATTTAGAATGTAAGTTTTTAAAATATTTATTTTACAATTCAAAGTATACATTAGGGTACTGGTATTTTTAAGAAAAAAATTCAGTCACCTTAACTTTATGCCATTTTTTTATGTTGTACAATCAAGTTATGAATATTTGGATAAATATCTTTTCAGTTACAGTCATTAAGGAGTTAAATGTAAGGAAGTCTTTGCCAGCTTACCAGCCATGTTATCTTGGCCATCATTATTTATATTTGCTGGCACCATAGTGTCCCAAATAAATCTGTGCATCAGCTCCAAATCAACGTCCTGCGGGCAAGGAAACTATTACGATAGCAGAAAGAACGAGTGTAAGAAATGTTCAGTGTGTCCAATCAATCACATCATTAAGACCCCATGCTCCACCTTTGAAGATCAAGAATGTAGTCCTTTTAGCTTTGATGAATTCTCTGAATTTGATACCAGTGTTTTGAGAGCCTACCCCACTGGGCACATCAACCCTGGTGTCGACGAGGAGGATAATATAAAGCCAAAAAGGTCTCACAATAAAGTAACAGATGACCACGGTCCGACCACTGTAGAGAAGGAAGACAGGGAGTACTGGAAAACACTGGCGTTTGCTCTGATTGGACTGCTAAGTGTTCTCATTGTCGTGGCCACTGTTGTAGTTTTGGTAGCCTGTCGCAGATTACAGAAGGCAACAGTGATAAAGCAGCCAGATGAAGGTGACATGGGTATGTAATATATATATTTTGGTTTAATGTTGCCTTTTGAAAAGGATCGTATTTAGCATTTGCTTTGATTTCAACCTTCAGATTATAAATGAAGACTTACTACTTAAACTCTGTTACATTCACAATTTTTAAGATTGAATGGACATTTATTTTGTGTGTGCAGTAGATGTTAGAATAAACATGCTTTTGTTGTTGATTTCTTTAAAATAAAATAACTGCTTCAAATCTAATAAACAAATCTGTAGGCTATTTCAAGTATTTTTTTTTAAGCAATGGGTAAAATTTATATACACTATTAGATATTTTTAGTTTAAATTTTGCAAGCAAAAGACCATATTTCATTTGGATTTTATTTTATATTCTTAGAAGATGCAGATTCTGGTTACGTTGTCATTCGAGCAATCAGGAATATTACTGATCCCAGACCTGTGAATGCAGAATACAATGTTTACTCCCGGAAAGATTATGATGCCCACCCACCATTGCTTTCGCCATCCTACAACGATCGAGAGTCGACATTCGACCCATCTGCCCACCTCCACTCTATACCAGGCAGGTTGTGCTTTCTTCCAAAAGTGTACAAGCCACAGAGGCGCCTGCTGACCTATGATACAGATGATGTGTTTGAGTCTGAGGACAGTGGCGGCTCGTATGTGGCTCCTGTCAAAACAAAGCTCCACACCATTGCTGAGAGTTCCGTATCATTCAGTTCAAAAGCAAGTACCATGATGAGCAAAGATATGAATGATCAGAATGTATGAAGCTTGACTGGAAAAAAAGGAGCAAGACTCTCATTTAAATAATACATTGTTACTGGTTTATTGTTATAAGTTATAGATGTATTTACATTTTTTGGGCTGATGGTAAGATTTAACAGGTTTATACAGTTGCACACCAAGTGCATAAAATCTGAAAATAAAGATAACATTAGAGCAGTAGACTCTGCAAAGCTTTTGTTTAGGACAAATAAATCAAAATAGCAGGATACACAAATATAAATAGCTATTGGCAATAAAATTTAAAACAATTCAAATTTATTGGCCGGTTTCTCAAAAGAATCTGTTTAAGAAATGCTTTTAGCTTTAATACAGTAATCTATAAGGAAATATATTTTGTGAACAAAAACTAGGGCATATTTTGTGAACAAAAACTAAATGAAAGTGCAATTTAAAGGAATAACTCGGCACACACATTTTTTCCTTGTTCCTGGTTCACAGGTGGTATAAAAATTGTTCCATGAAATATATTACAGTGATAAGCTCCATCATACAGTCATCTCATATACATCCAAAGTCATACACAGCAGTCATCTCTTATACATTACAGTCATCTCTTGTTTTTATTATTTTGTATAGATATATTTATTAATTTAAATTATTCTCATCCAAATCTGCATTTCAGTCATGATTTCTCCCTATCTAGTCTTATATTAATGGCTGTTTCAATAACAGGCACTAATTAAGCATTTGATAAATATTTTTTTTAATTTGTGACAGTTCTGTGCCCTTCCAACCTATTCTCGTTTTTGTTTTCAGCAGATTGTTGTGGTAAATAAATTTAAAAATGTGGGAACTTATTGTAATTCATGGCGATGTACAGATGTTTTTTAAAAACTTTTCTTATAAGTAAATTTTTATGATTTTACAATATGTTTATGTTACAGCTATACTCCCATGGAATAGTTTTATTCTTACTACTTACGTACATTTGTCTCCAATCATGTGCGCGTTTACAAATTTGTTTTTATAATACTGCTTTAATAATACTTTAAGCCCCATGTGTTTATTTTTAAAATGACTTCTGTATACCCCCAGCTGATTGTTGTATTAGAGGATTTGAATTTTTTAATGGTAACACCATTTGCTAAAAAAAAAATAATTAGAAAACTAAAATTATCTGGAAGCTAATAGAAAGAAAAGCAAAAAATTACCATACCGGTACCTTTCCTGAACCCTAGCTAGTGCTTTTAAATTATTTACAGATTTAAAAATTGTATATTAAAAATTGTTATTGCACGATTTTAATTTTCTTACATTCTGCTTAGCAGATAAACAACTCTCCATTTTATCACTTGCTTTAGTTTATGTTAATCTATGAAGTTCATGGTAAAAAAAGCAACATTCACATAGGATATAGTATGGTGGTTTGTACTTTTGATTACCAACTTTCCTGATAGTTGATATAACATTGTTGTTATGTTCATGAACGGTTTGTTAAGAACAATAATTCATTCTGTAGATATCTGAACAAATATGTAAATAAGTATGCTGTGTAAATTTACATATTTATTTTCTTTCAGCATGAGTGCATATGTTTCAGTTTTGATATTTTTATTAATACTGGTAGTTCAGAAACAGCTGAGTGTCTTCCATTGAGATGAATTAAATTATATGTTAAAAGTTTTTAAGATATATTTTTTGACATGCTGACATACACTTAAATTTAAAACAATTGTATGTAAATCATGCTTCCAATTTCTGGTTGTCACCAACCGTCTCCTTTATATATGATAACTTAGATGAAATTTTGCTGTGAATTTTAAAAAAGATCTGAAAATATAGGACATGAACATTAGTCGACGTGAGGTTGCTGAATGCTTGCCATAAAAAAAATAAGCTATTACAACAATTACTACTTCTGGATATTTGGGGTCTCTTAATTGCTTATCAGATTGTAATTGCCCTGGTACATTATTGAAGTTTTCTATTGTATAAACCAGAACTAATCATAGCATGAATAAAGATGCTTTTTATTATAAAGGCTAGGTAAGGCGCAGAGATTTAGGCACACAAAATTAAGTCCAATATTTATTTATTCCTGATTGTTTGTAAATACATACCTTAATGATATACAACTCTTCCATGTTTTATTCTACATCATTCATTTGAGTTACAACATGTATTTGAGCCATATTGTGGCGTCACTCATTAATTGTTTACTGTAAAAATCACCAATTCTACCAAACCATGAATTCTTCCAAGACTGTATGTTTGATTGTTACCTGGTTATAAATTAATAAAAATTTCTAATAAAACATATAGTTAAACCACTTACAAGATGTTAACAAAGTTTGGAAAAATTAAGACTTTTCTGATTTTTCCATCTGTGCTTCTGCTGAATTTCCATTGGACATATCGAAAATACAAATACTGTATTTCTATGTTAAAACACTGAGTGAAAACTGTGTATGTCTTATGTGAAATTAACTGCCAAAACTTTTTTGATAATTAGTGGGTTTTTTTACATTTGTTTGGTTTGTTTTGTAGTTTTTTTTGTGTTTGTTACCAAAATGTATCCATTTCTATGATAACAATAAACTAAACTAGAGGGCAGGAAATTAGAAAATATTTTAATCAGAGTGCTTCAGGTTTGACTTGACAGAAAGACCATAAATATAAATCCTTGAAATAGCAGGTGCCAGTTTGTTTACAGTGAATTGAAATATGACAATATTTGTCTGTGCCGTCATCGTAAGGTCAGTTATTTTTAAGAACAAGCCATTTTGTATTGAACAGTTACAATTTTTTTTCCCCAGTAAATTTTGTCATTGCAAAATCATAAGCAAGGTCCAGTTTTTTTTTGTGTTTTCATCAGACACATTTTTTTTTTTTTTTTTTGCAGATGTTTTTTTTAATGCCAATCCATAAATTTAAGGTTTAAAAATTTCGTCATTGAAAAGTGATTTTTAGATTTTGTCATTCTCTTTTTTTTTTTTTTTTTCATCTGACACTTTTTTTTTTTTTTTTTTTTGCAGATGTTTTTATTAATGCCAATCCATAAATTTAAGGTATAAATATGTCGTCATTGAAAAGTGATTTTTAGATTTTGTCATTCTCCTTGCTCAGTGTTGTGCCAGAACAGCCTGGAACTGTTTGAAGCAGCCAGCAGGCTCCCAAACTGTTGGCTGAAAACCCCTTCAGTATTCCCAGAGCTAAATTACCAAAGCTCTTCGTTTTATTTTCTTCATTCAAATGTCTTTATTCAAGTACAATAAAACTTTATTCATATCCTGTGTCTTCCCTGCTGTAGATTTTGCTTTGTTACCATTCGAAGTCGAAGAAATTGTGAATGCTGCCCCCTTTGACTAGTATTATATCCTTATGTCATCAAAAATCAAAACGATTGTGGTGCTTACTTTTAACGAATGACATTGTTAAATGCATATAGTTTTTTTTTTTTCAAACGTACATGTTTAGCTGTAAATATGTTACATTAGAATCTATCTGTATTGTTAGTGTTATTATAACATGTATTGGCAGTGGTTCCCAACCTATTTAAAAGACTTTTTTTGCTTTAAAATTTATTCATGGTAACTACCACGGGTCTATTTGTGTGAGGGGGTGGGGGTTGTTAGAAACCCCTCTCCTTATGCCCCCATTAAACAGGTTGGGAAATATTATTTTCTGGTAGAGTTGATACTTGTAATATTGAAGATCTACATTGATGGTAGTGAAGTTATGAGAGCTCTCTAAGAAAAGACAGAATTTTGGGGGGTTTTTTATGATAACTTTACAATAACCAGGTTCTATCCTCTTGTATTAGTTTATGGTATTTTAAAAACTAAGCGTTGGTCACTATTGAAATTAATTTTTACTTTGTTTGTTCATAAATTAAAATATTTATTAGCCATGTTTGTTTGTTTCTTTTGTGTGGCGCAGGGGTTATTTTTGTTTGTTTCTTTTGTGTGGCGCAGGGGTTATTTTTGTTTGTTTCTTTTGTGTGGCGCAGGGGTTATTTTTGTTTGTTTCTTTTGTGTGGCGCTGGGGTTTTTGTTCTTTGTTTCTTTTGTGTGGCGCTGGGGTTATTTTTGTCTGTTTCTTTTGTGTGGCGCAGGGGTTATTTTGTTAACAACAATTGTAATAGAATCAGGTGTAGAAGGGTAAAGCAAAATAGTTATTTAAATAATTTGACTAGAAAATGTCACAAATGAGATCAATAAAATCAACTGCCACTTTTGACTACACCTTAACACTAATTTAAAATTTAATGACAGTAATGGATAACATTAAATTTTTTTAAAACATTACCATGCTATAATAATGAAATTAAAATTTAATTGCAAGATAATATCTTAAATTTATGATCTTAGACCTTTTTTTTTCTTTTACTTAATGTCTAGTTACTTAATTTCTCAGACAAAGATATAGTCGCATCATATTTGTTTTAGGGACAGTGCGTCCATCTGCTCACCCAGTGGTTGAGGATAAGACCGAGTACTGTGGTCGGCATATGAAAGATTGTCTTGTAAGTCAAGTGTATGGAATTATAAAGAAATAGAGTAGAACAAGATATGTTGAGGTTTGAAACTGAGGTGGCACCAAAATAATAATCTTGTTTTTTTTCAAGCCTAAACATATCTTGTTTCAATATTTATTTACTTCACTCTGCTTGAAAGCAGCCCCTCATTTAATATAGAATTATAAGCTACCTCAGCAAAAGAGGCTTAATACTATGTGCATGAAATCACTGTTATTAGTAATAAGGCAAGGTTAGCCAGTGGTATCACCCCCTCCAGACTTCCCCATGGACTTTCTCCGTGTCAGCCTGCTCTGGTGACATCTTATTCTGAAATTGTTTAAATGTGACAAATATTTGACGTCATTTATGGATAGTCCCCTGGAAAAATTACTTGGTTTAGAGTAGTTCAGACATTGACGGCATAATCGAGGAAACGAATATTAATGAATACCTTGTTATTGGACTATATTTTTATGGTACAATTTAACAAATCATGTTGCTAAGAGTAGAGGCCCTTTAAAGCTTCCGCTTTGTAATGGCGGCAGGACTACCACACCTTGGGAAATTTCCCAAGATCTTGGGAATTCACGACCCCCCTTGGGATCTGGGGAATAATTTTGAAAATCAGGCAAAACCTTGGGAAATCTTAACTGGTGGGAAAATTTTATTATATTTTTCGAAAAAACGCAACAATATGTGATAAAAATTAAGTGAAAATAAAGCAAAATAATTTTTAAAGTAACAAAGCAAAAAATTAATTGTTTTAATTTTCTTTTCTGGTTTTAAATTTTAAATCCACTCATCAAATAAATAAAAACTCTTCTGATATTAAAGTTATTATTATGTCGAATTGTTACAAAGTTAATAATTAAAGAAAAATTCAAATTTCTCTTCTATTTTTAAAAAAAATTGAAGATTTACAAATTACATCCAGGTTTTGACTGTTTATTAAAGGGGGGGGGGTAGGCTCGGAAACTTTATCATTAGGCTATTTATTAGACATTAGCAACCATACGAAAAACAGTACAAGCCGAAGAATGAACGATAGTAGTGTTCAATCAAGGATCCATGCCATAGTAAAATTTGATTATTTCAATTACTCATACAATGTATTCAAAATATAATGCATCTGTAAAAAATCCAGCCTAATTTTCATCAATTGGAAAAAATATTTGTGGATTGAAACACAGGTAACTAAGACATTAAAAGTATAGGCCTACATTGTAGGATTATAAATGAACAATACATTTAAAAGTATGTTATTTTGTTGAAAAAATCGTTATAATATAAATTTACAAGAAAAAAATAAAAATACTTATTGTTTTCATAATAATATCAATCCATTTTAACTACAATTATTATTAATAAATTTTGCTTCATTGCTTTGCAAACACCACTTCTAATCAACAGTCAACAGACTTACAATAAGAAAAATCATTTTTTGATGAAGAACCTTTTGCCCTTGTAAAAGGAATTCTGTGTTATTAGCCTTGTAAGCTTTGTTTCCTAGTCACTTCTATTACACATGTATTGTAGATGATATTTTTACCAGAGAATTCGGAGGTAATATTTAGTAGCCTAACTTCAGTGGGTATTGATATTTTGGATTATAAATTATTTTTAAAAAAAAACAAATTGTATGTTTCTTTTATGTGATAAACATTTTTTTAAATGTCTTTTTCAATAAATTTCAAACAATTAATGTACCATGTTTTTCATGGGCATTAATTCAATCTATTATTACATTAATTACATAGAAAAACCCTTTTTTAAAAAACTCTTAAATATTTTTATGATCTTGGGAAATCTTGGGAAATTTGTTCACCAAATCTTGGGAAATTTTAAAAATGTGAATGGCAGCCCTGAATGGCGGGTGTATATAATGATACAGACGATACAAATGTTCAGTTGAACTGTTACTTAACTTAGACCTATATAATATAGCAATGGAAACCGATGTTGATAGTATCTCTAGCGTGAGATATAAAGGTATTTTACTGGCATAGCATTTAATTTAAAGCTATAAGAAAATTAACTTTTCTGAACAGAGTTTCAAATATAATATTATAATAATATTATTATTAGTAGGTATTTAAGAGAGAGCGGCCCGAGTCTATTTCCACGGCCGACATCTTGGTTTGGTTGCCTCGACCCGCGCACTTTTACGTGTTCACGGGTCGAGGCAACCAAGATGGCGCCATGGAAAAATAAAATAATTCACATTTGCTAAAATTTGGAAGAAAAATTTTAAAATGTATGAAAAAATTGTCTGAAATCGATCCCTATGCCTAACCTGAACCCTAAATCTATCCCTATGCCTAACCCTAAATCTATGCCTAACCCTAAATCTATCCCTATGCCTAACCCTAAATCTATGCCTAACCCTAAAGCCTAAATCGATCCCTATGCCTAACCCTAAATCGATCAATATGCCTAACCCTAAATCGAACCCCAACCCAACCCTAAATCGATCCCTAAGCATAACCTGAACCCTAAAGACTAGCCGTAAATCCATACGCGAAAACATGTGGAATTTCACACTTTGGCAAGAAAACTATACAAATTAACAAAAAAAATTTTTAAAAAGGGCCCAAAATAATTATAAACTGAAGAAGTAATGAAAATCCAACTTACAGTTTCATGAAATACACTTTTACACACTTTATTTCAGGTTTCAAGGAAAATATAGCCACAAAATGAATAAATCTCCACACCCCACAGGCACCCCAAAGATATCAAATATGGCGGAACAACCGAAATATGATAATGAGCCAACCAATGAAAATTTTAATTCCGCAAATGTAACTCTTTTAACAAAAAATACTAAAAAAATAAGGGGAGGGAATCCAAAACAAAGTCGTCGTGGGCCGCTCAATCAGAAACAGCCTATTATGGTATTATTATTACAGACTAATATTATAGATTTTTAAAAATGTGTTTTTAATCTACAAAAAAAAACACTTTACTACAATTACAACAAGAAAAAGACTGTAGGGGTCATCCATAAAGTATACCACAATCAGTATGATCTCTGTCTAAGAAAGTTTAGAAAGTGTGACAGTTATTGAGTTAGTTATAGTTCAGTTAGACTAACAGTGACATGGAAACAGGGTGGTGGGGGTGGTTAGATGACATATTGGATGTCACACATTTATATTTTAATTTTCTGGGTTAGCGGAAAGGCTGGCGATGTGTTCCACAGTATAAAGGTTATGGAGGTTTCCTATGTCACTAGTATGTCAACATCCGTCTAAAGCATGGCATAGCTCCTTATAGGGACCTCGGTATGGCCAGGAAATACCCGAAAAAAGGGTATTGTAATTTTGTTGTTAAAATGGCGACCTCCACTTTTTAACTTACCGAGGGTAGCTTTGTTTTGGATTTTTTTTGCAGATGTTAGTTTTTAGTAAATTCTACTTCGGCCCTCAACTTAAAGTAGACATGTTTGTTGTTCATGTGACACTTTCCTTTTAGAAAAAAATTGATGGTTTGACTTTAAAAATTGAAGGTAAATAATAGCTATTTTTTTTTTTTTTTTTTTTTTTTTTTTTTGAGGAACACATAGGATTTTTTAAAAAGTACAACTTTTAGATAATTTTATAAATTGCAACATATCCAAAATTCGTGCGGTTAGGACAAGTACATGGATAAGATATCTTTGTACAAACTTTTAGTCACATGTTTCCCAAAACTACCTATTATCGATAATTGACTTTTTTGAAGTTAATGACTTGATGTACATTGGAAATTCAGCACATTAGTCAACAATAATTCATTTTAAAACAAATTAACATAATTGAATAGCACCAATACTTATTTTTCATATGATCTGGTGCTTTTTAGGGAATTAATTGGGGAATGTGATAAACATTACACCTTAGACAATTATTTATATAGTAAATTATTTTTATAATTATATATATATATATTATAAAATTATAGTATTATTATTATATATTTATATATGTGTGTGAGTCCCCTGTGAGCCTAGCATAGTATACAGTATAGGCATAGCCTCATTCAACTTATTATTGTAGGACCTATGACATATTTTTGTAATAGTAATGATATTTTTTTATAAATTTAAAATAAAAAATGTTTAACAAAATATTCTCTTACCTTTGATATTAAAATATCCTAAATTCACTCACAAATAAAAATATTTCACATGAAAAATATTATATAATCCTCAATATTTTTAAAGAAATAACACACTTTCTGCCACAATAATCCAGAATTACTTAAGATATTACTAAAGAACAATCATAAAAACTTACACTTACCTCAAGTAAATGACTAGAACTTATTTTATTTTCAATCAACCGCCAAAGTTGATTCTATCAATACATGTGGATTTGTGAAACACCTTTACTATCTTATAATAAATGACACACTATTTTTTTTATCATATTCAGACATTCATATGATATGGGACTAAAATGCATATATAGAAGATGGTAAAAATATAAAGTGTAATCGTCAGTTTTAACTAAATGGAACAAATAATTCCTTTATTATTTGTTTATATTTAAAAATGTTAAACAATTGCACAGAAAATTTGAAATTAATATCTAAAGAATATTTTTATTATTATAGATTTTGGGGAAATTAAAAAAATAATATTTAAACAAAATTAATTAATTAATTTCAAATAAGTGACGAGTCAGCATATTTATACATTTTTTTTTTTTTAAAAATAGGAAAATAATTTTAAAATTTCCTAAATTTTTGCGGCATATTAACAAAAACTAACTTATATTTTGTGGCTTTATTTAGAAGTACTCTTATTTAACCATGTTCCCTGAAATTATTATATTATTGTCTCATTTTAAAATAAAGTTATAGGCGTTTTAAAAAAGGCAAAATGAGGGTCACAAAATGTGGAGGAAAATCCCATAGTGAAAAAAGTGGTTTTGAGGTCCATACTAAAAAATTCATAACTTTTGAACCACTTGAGCTAGAAATTTGATCTTGGTGTTTTTGTAATCTATTCTCCGGGCTCTATACAGCTGTAGCATTTTTATAATTTTAAAAATGTTTTGAAATTTTAATCAAAGTGCTTACTCCTTATTTAAAAGATTTTCAATCTTTGTGTTTACAGGATGCAAGGTTTCTCATTTTCTATTTTTTTTTCCTAAAAGTGCGGGTGGGTTTGTTGGTATGTGTGTGTGTTCAAGATTTGTGATGGGGAGGGGGGTACACAATTCTATAAAATAGCTTGATGTACTATGGACTGCCCCTTAGCCTTCCCTTGCCTTAGTGGTAATTGTGGTGTTGGTGTTTGTATTAACTTAGTAACTAAAAGTTATCAGCCATCATCGTTATCAACATCATAGTAATATGTTTTGTTTAGCAATTTTGTGCTTAAATATAAGTAGGCCAATTACTTTTACATTAGTATTAGTTATATTGCAATTGATTTTACCACATTATTATTGCTTATACTTATACTAGAAGTTATGAAACAGTGTTACTGAACTAAAAGTGGAAGGCATATTGCATGACTTGCTACCTGCTATTGATTTTATATCCTTAAAAAAAATGTGAAAATTTTTCACACCCTGAGCTACAAAGAAAATAATTATATTAAATTCATTTATAATAATTTTATTTATATTTCTTAATTTATCTTACTTATTAAAGATTACTTATAATTATATTTGCATAAAAGTAAAAGCATACATTTTAATTGAATCAAATTCCGTAAAATAATAGAAAATCACCATCATCTTTTAAAGAATCTGAACGTAGCACATCTACATTGGCTCATTCGTACACACATATATATATGTATATATATATGTCTTTACTATATTCAACCTGTCTTAGTCTTCACTTTTAAGTTATGGGCCTACTTGGAACTTTACTAAATGGAGCATGCCTATCAAATAAAAATATTAGAACAGACTTTTCACTGCCCTCATGCCAATGATATTAGGTCTCATAGGCACAGGGTCAGTAGTCACTAATTAATCTCTATTAATTGAAAATAAATGTTAAACTGGATACATGAAGACTAGTTTAAATTCCATTTTCATGTGCCCATAAAATTTGTTTACTAAACTGAACTATGAAAATATTGAAAATGAGGCAGGTATAGGTTTAATACTAAACAATTTACATTATAACTAAACAGAAGGCTTAAAAGGCTACCTACTTACCCATCACAAACAAGATTTGCTGGACATTTTGGAAGAAGAAGATGAAGATGACTATCACTCAGTTACTGTCAAGTAAGTCTATTCTTCCTGGAATTATTTTATATATATTTCTGAAAGAGATTACAGTGAAATTTTAGATGTTATGCAGTCACACTGAATCAGATTTTAAGAGAGCTTCTGAGGGAAGCTGGATAATGATAAAGATAATGACAGCTGGCTGGGATAAGAAGGCCGGTAATTAAAAATTAACAATGAGGATATAATGTGTAGGTTGATGAAAGAGCTTGCCATGGCTGTGAACTTTTAGAGTTGAACATTACAAATCTTAATTGTTAAAATGAACTGCTTTTATTTGTTCTTGTATTATGTGCAATTATCATTTGCGTTATTTTAGTCTCATTGACACATAGATCCTAAACCATTTTCAGGGGCCTTAATCTGTAGTTGACTCTCTTGAACACTTGGACCAAAGAATTAAATCACAGCATACTGTTTAAATAATGTTTCTTCTCAATTCATTGATTGATTTGCTTTCAAGGAATTGAGACGTAGATGTTAATTATTGTGATACCTTAATATTTTTGTTACTATTAATAGTAATAGCCTGTCAAACAATGTTGGAGGCAATGCGTAAACTTCTGATCTACTAAAAGTATTTGACGAAACTTGCACTCAAGTAATGCACTTTATAAGAATCCCAATTAGTGTTTAACCCCCCTCCCTTTTTTCCCCACTGCACACTTTTTTCATTCCACCGAACTATATTTATATTCTAATGTCCCACCCCTCTTACAAAGCAGATTTATTACAGCATAATTAAATTGAGACTATTTCTATAAATTGAAGTAAAATATTACAAACTGGCTATATTTTAAGAATCTCAGTTTTGTGGAATTTTATTTTACACACTGTTGAACTCACTGTTGACTCCATGCTTTCTTTCATACTTAGACTTAGAGAATAATAGTGTTTGATAAATACATTTATAAATTTTCAGTGCCCTCTCGTTGTTTGAAATGAACATGGAGTTTTGTGACTTGCTGTTAACTTCACCCCTCTCGTTGTTGGAGATGTTTGACAGTGCACTGCTGGAGGCTGAGAATGACCTCAAAAAAGATCTGGACAGGGAAGGCACCCAAGCACACATGGTAGCAATATCACTTGGTTAAAAATCATCTAACAGCTACCAAGCACACATGGTAGCCTTATACTTGGTCACAATCGCCTAACAACACCCAAGGACACGTGGGTAGCCATTGACTTGGTTACAATCAACTAACAGACTAATGGATATGTTACTATAATTAATTTAAGGCCCATTCATTTCAACTTGTTTGTTGCACACTCATTACCCTTTCTTTTTTTTCTTTTTTTATTTATAGACGATTAAATCAAAAGTTCATGTTCGAGTAATGTCGTTGCCTGTATGTCCAGAATTGAGCCGGACCACCTTGCCCAAAGCAGCTGATATGAGATGCTTCCTTTCAATCACAGGTAACTTCAGTTTCTCCATTGTCACAAAAAAACAAAAGTAAACTCTTAATGTTTGAGCACTAAGATTTTTTTACACTCGAGCTTCTGAACAAGCTCTAATTATCGCATGCTGTATACCATGCTCTAAGTTATATCAAAGTATTCAGCTGTTCCTATGATATAGAAGTTTTGCTCTTAATCAGGTAATATTTGTGTCTACCCCCAGGATTACTGTTGATATTTTTATGTACCGGTATCCCCAGGGACTGTGATTAGAACCACATTGATCCGTGTGCTGGAGCATGAACATGAGTACATCTGCTCCAAATGTAGAATGGTCGTCACAGCTAAGGTCATAATGAATGTTTCTTTTTCTTTCTTTTTTTTTCCTGTTGTTTCAAAATTGTTGTTTCCTTTCTCACCACTGAAAACTTTTTTTTTTTTTTTTTAACAATTTGAATTAAAAATTGTATGCGTCTTTTTTTTCAATTTTTCACTCTTTGTTTTATCTCAAAGTTTAAAATAAAAATTCATAATTTATTAAAACATTAGTTAATATGTTTATTTTTTAAGGTCATAATGAATGTTTCTTTTTCTTTCTTTTTTTTTCCTGTTGTTTCAAAATTGTTGTTTCCTTTCTCACCACTGAAAACTTTTTTTTTTTTTTTTAACAATTTGAATTAAAAATTGTATGCGTCTTTTTCTTCAATTTTTCACTCTTTGTGTTATCTCAAAGTTTAAAATAAAAATTCATAATTTATTAAAACATTAGTTAATATGTTTATTTTGATGTTATCAAGTACTCTTTGCAATTCACTTATACTTATAATTAGAAAATAGTTTTGAAGATTACGCACATATTTAAGTTATTTTTTTTCCATTGATGTGGTAAAGAAAACCATTTTTTCTTTAATTGACATGGTAAAGAAAACTATTTTTCCTCTCTGTTCAGGCAGATTTTGAGCAGTTCTACAATCTGAAGAAGCCAACAGTTTGCCCAAACGAAGCATGCAGGGGGAACAACTTGGTACTGCTGGCAGAAAATGGTGGGTGTTATTAATTGTTGTCTCCTCACAGCTATTCCAAAGTCAAAGTCGCTGGATTCTGTGAGGAGAGGTTGACAAATTAAACTGTTACTCAGTAGATATTGTGATGAATATTTTAAAAAAATGATAATAATAATAATTGGTTTTTATCTGGAGAAAGACAGTTGACGTTAGTTAAAAAAAATTTATTTGAAGATTTTAATACTCAGTTATTCACTCTCCTCATTGGCTATTCACTCTCCTCATTGGCTATTCACTCTCCTCATTGGCTATTCACTCTCTAAAATCCATCACTCATAGATGACAATCCTCCCTGAAAGCTCTGTAACAATTTCTTATATAATTTTTCATAATGTAATATGATTGTGTATATCATCATCCTGAGCCAGCGACCATTCAGTCATGTGCCCGTCATCCCAAAAACGATATTAAAATTGACTGATGTTTTGGACTGATGATCAAGTATACCAACATCAAATCTTTTACAGCTCTGTCTAAATGAGGTAGAACTAACTGTATCAGTTGTTTTTTGTTTTTTTTCCACCTGTCCACCATTCAGGAGCCGGCCCGAGCAACTGCAGAAATTATCAGGAGATCAAAATCCAAGAGCAGGTCCAGAGACTGTCCATGGGGACCATCCCTCGGTCCATGTGGGTTGTCCTGGAGGACGACCTTGTCGACAGTTGCAAAGCTGGTGATGATGTGACTATATGGTCAGTGGTTGCTGAGTAGTCTTGCAGTTGTCCACTGTGGAAATCAATATTTTTTTTTTAATTGAAAATGATATTATTGTAAATTGCACTAGAAATAAAATCTAGTGAATGCTTTTTCATTGACCCGTTGACTTTGAAAAATATACTCATAATTTATTCTAAACTGTGTGAAAGCAATACTGGGTTACCACATTATTTCAATTTATTTATATGTAAGTGTTTTTTTAATTTATGAATGGTACAGTATTTCTACTGTAGTTGTTTTAATTAACAGCTTTCAATTTTTAGTAATTTTTCTCCATGTGGCTTTTTATGTGTGTGTAAGATGGAAAAGATTATATTTAAAAGAGAATATTGTAGAAGTGAAAGCAATTTTTCTGCACGAAAGAGTGTGGGATATGATTTTATATACTCTCTCTCTTTTTGCCTTGCACGCTCCTAGTGGTGCGTAGTCATGATCATCAATGGCACTGCAGCCCAAGGAGGGCTATGGTCTGCTTCACCACATCCTTCCACTGAAGGCAGATCCATGGATTTTTAGTCTCCATGGCAGAGGCACGGGCAGTTCACCAACTCTTTCAATTTATATCTGTCCTGGGCTTTTCCTTCCGGTTCATCCCACTTGTATCGCCATTTGTCTCACTATGAAATGTTATAATTCTCTACTTCAGTGGCACAGTCAGACAAAGATGGAGGCCGGCCATGATGGACGCCAAATGTGACCTAGAGATTGTCCTGCAGGCCAATCACATCCTGGTCACCAATGAGCAGAGGAGTCATGTTATGATCACACAGGAGTTGGTACGCCTTGACCTATCAGCACTGTCTCTGTAGTTGCCTTGACCTATCAGCACTGTCTCTGTAGTTGCCGTGACCTATCAGCACACTCTATAGTTGCCTTGACCTATGGGCACTGTCCAAATAGTTCATAAACAGTTATTAAAGTTTTCTTTTAAGCATGTCTTACATTTTGTTACAAGCATGCCTTACATTTTGTTATAAACATACTTTACATTTCTTATAAGCAAATCTTACATTTTCTTACCCGCCAGAAAGATGAAGTGGCTGAATTTTGGGATGAGCACAAGTACAAGCCTCTTACTGGCAGAAACCTTATCCTGACCAGCCTCTGTCCTCAGGTGTACGGACTGTATGTGGTCAAACTGGCCGTGGCTGTAGTTTTGGCTGGGGGAGTACAGGTCAGTTTGGAGCACCATCTTTGAGCCAAATGAAATCTCAAATATTTCATTAACGTTGAGCTCTGCTTTATTCTTTAAGAAATAGAATTGACCAGCATAAACATATGAGAATATTTATTGGCGAGGTACATTTTGTTGAGTGAGAAGGCTATAAAAAGACATTACTCAAAAAGAAACACAGCATTGGCCAGCAATGTGGATTATTTCAGACTGATAAATTCAAAACATATTTTATTATAATTTCACCACATACGCACAATATTAAGTGCTTTTTTTTTTTTTTTTTTTATAATTTTTTAATTTTTTTTTTTTTTTTTTTTTTAAATATTTGTAACTGTTCTTGTGTGTTTGTCCACAGAGAATTGATGATAGTGGTTCAAGAGTAAGGGGAGAAATCCATCTGTTGCTGGTTGGAGATCCAGGTATTTGATGTTTATAACCATTGAGTAGAGACACTAGATTTGGGTTTCCAAAGGGGAGGGGGGTGTTTATGGCATTACAGAGGGTGTGCTAAAAAGAACAGTTGAGAGATAAGCTTTGAAGTCATATCAATGTTTATATTTCAAAGAATTTTCTTCATTAACATTTCGCCATGTAATAAGTTACAGGCTTATTTTCTAAGCTCTACAGATCTCTTAGCAATTCAATAAGTAAATGAGAAACATGTTATTTTAAAATGCACTTTTAATTTTTGTAAGGGGTGCCAGACTTCGTGAAACATTTTGTTGGCGGTGCTGACAATAGAAAAGTTTGGGAAATACTTCTCTAAACTATTTTGTATTTTATATGTAAGTGAGGTACTGGGTGATACATTCATAAACTAAACTTTTTTAGAGATTACATTGCTGATGCTACTGAATCTAAGCTATGAGAGGATGCTGTCATCTTACATGGCCTGAAGTTGGAAAATTTTAATTTTAGCCATAACCAAAGATGTAATGTTTAAAAAAAATTTATAAAAGGCTAACATAAGAGTGGTTCTCACAAACAGGAACAGGCAAGTCCCAGTTTCTCAAGTACGCTGCCAAGATAACACCCAGGTCTGTCCTAACGACAGGTATCGGTAGCACTAGTGCTGGCCTTACAGTAACAGCCGTGAAGGTAGTTTAAAGATCATTCATTATATGCATCTCTGTTGATAAAAAAAATACATATATATATATATTGTAAAGTATCATTTATTTTTGTATATACCTATGTGCCAAGAAAAATACATTTATTAATTTGGATAAAAGATTTATTGCAAGCAAGTTTATTTCAACTATAATTTACATATGTTTACATATGTGTGTGTTTATAAATTAACCAAAGCACCAGCACCTTCATCATCGCTAGCACAAACTAAATTGTTATCATCTTCTGATAGGACGGAGGGGAATGGCAGCTGGAAGCAGGAGCACTTGTGTTGGCAGACGGAGGCCTGTGCTGTATCGATGAGTTCAACTCCATCAAAGAGCACGACAAGGCCAGCATTCATGAAGCCATGGAACAGCAGACTATCAGTGTGGCGAAGGTCAGGAGTGTGTTGTAGTTGGACGATTTGGTGATTTTTGTTTGTCATTAGAAATTATGAGAAACGGCTGCTTTTGATAACTTCAACTCGTTGCTAAAGTTGTAAGAACCAATTGACTTGAGTCTCAAAGTAAAGACTGATAATAATAAAAATGTAAGCGCTTTCATATTTGTTTTCTAATTCCTGAGCACCGGTACAGTGAATGTAAATTGTGTTACTTTGATTTCTAACTTTTTGTTTGCACATCACTTTAATACTTTAAAAAATATATCAACCGATGCCAGTGGTCGGTAAACTCATTAGACAAAAGAGCCAGAAATCAGCAGCAGGATGATTAAAACAAGTTTTGAGAGCCAAATTTCTTTTCAAGAACCATGTTTTTCTGAGTCAAAACTGATTTTTGACTAACTGGCAGAGCCGCACTCAGGTCACTAAAGTTCCGCATGCGGCTCATGAGCCGCGATTTGCCGACTACTGACCTATGCTAACACTAAATCAAAATGCTATTTTATGTTTGAACTGCAGCAAATAACTTTTTTGATTTAAGGGGATGTGAAATGTAAAATTAAATTTTGTTATTATTGCTCCAATCCCAGGCTGGTCTGGTTTGCAAGCTCAACACCAGGACAACTATTTTGGCAGCTACAAATCCTAAGGGACATTATGATCCAAATGAGGTATGAGACTTTCCCCAGTTTACATATGTGGCTATGCTTTAACCCCTACGCACCCACTGAAATTTAAACGTAGCATAAATAGGTGAGCATGTGACTTTTCGGCTAGTTTCACTTAAGAATTAGTGACTTTATTGTTCTCCTTTGTGTTCACTCAATTCCTTTATCATGGAGGCCCATTCTGACAGCTCATTTTGAATTGATGAGCCTACTTGAAGAGAGCAAAGCTGTTTCTCAGTTATTTCACAGGTCTATCTGACCGTTCTGTAAGTAGTCATGAGCATTTTCATATACTTATTTTCTAGAGTACATTTCATCATGTGTTTATGATGGGTGATTCTTGTTTATTACCGATCATGTTAAGCTGTGTTTTAGTTTAATTACGCATCGAGCTCATTGAATGTATCGCGTAACAATGGTATCACCATAGTTGGATGTACTGCCATGTGGTTAAGTTTTACATAGGCCTACGCGTGCGGCATTATAATTGTAATGACCAAGTATCTAGAATTGTAGGTTAACTCAATAATCGAACATCTTAGGGTCTCCATGCCTAAAATAGATACAGGACATTTGGGAACATAAATCTAATGAGATTGTACTGGACACCCATGCACAGATTTGGAGCGCAAAACTGTGTACTTCTCATATGAGCTAAACCCTGCAACATAACGTCTGTAAAATTAAATATTATTCATGGATTATTTCATTTGCCCTTTGGATACCCATGTTGAATCTACCATTATAATTAATCATTGTTGCTGTCGACTTTATTAACCAACAGGATTATGGCCCATGTTTATTGCTAGCTGTGTATGTTTATCATATTTTGAATAATCTGTTAAATCCAGATTTATCCCGCAGGTTTTATATTTTGTATTTTGAATAACCTGTAAAATTACGGAGTTATCCCGCATGTTTATTGTACAGTTGACGGACTTAAGGTAACCCATAAAACATTTTTTATCCATGGTTATCCACTGTGCTTATTGCTAGTTATATTATATGTACTTTAAAATTACTCTTCTTCTTCTTATATTTGAGGGGCCCACGATCAATTTGTTGATCATTCTGGCTCCTGGTTTAAATTCAGAGTTTGCCTTCTCTTAGATGGGTTGCCGTCCAAGGCTAACGAGTCACATCCACCTGGGGTGCTTGGGATGTTGGCTTTGGTGGGGATTGAACTCCAGACCACCAGCTATTTGGTTTGAGACAGTTTAGACCGCTCGGCCACCCAGATTACTTGTACAATACATGTATCTCTCCAGTCATTTTCATTTTTACTTGTACAATACATGTATCTCTCCAGTCATTTTCATTTTTACTTGTACAATACATGTATCTCTCCAGTCATTTTCATTTTTACTTGTACAATACATGTATCTCTCCAGTCATTTTCATTTTTCCTTCTGTTTTTTTTTTTCAATTTTAGTTACCCATCATACTCTCAGAACAAATAAAAAGCTGTAGTTCTCAAGACCTCATTCTCCTTCGGATTTGTAAACTAAGTTTAAAACTGTCACGTCACCCAACCCAATCACCCACTGGGGTGCACAGCTTCACATACTTCCAATGAATTTCCTTAAGAATAGGAGCAGTTGTCCTAAACTAAACTTAGTCAGTGTTAGAAGCCCCAGTAAAACTTTCTGCCCCCCTTTTTTTTACAAATGATCAAACCACTGGGGATTAGCTGTCGTCCATTGTTACGTGTAATGCAGAAATGACTTCAACAACTGGCGCCATTTGCAATTTATGAGAGAAGTAGATTAGAGAGATTTAGTTTCCATCTGCAAGGTATATATTATCACTGCAAGCAACAGACACTTTGATAGCTTTATAAACATTCCAAACAATTTTTACCTTTTTTTAAATGGCATGGTCTCGTTGATGATAACTAGTGCAGCTCTTAATTTGAGCTGTTCATAGCAGCAATTTTTCACAAACAGGTAAATCTAAAAAAAATATTTTTTTTAAAATTATCTTTTTTATTTATTTTTTTTTTACAAAGAAATCTTCCCAAATGTCATGTTTTGTTTTTTTTCCCACCCCCAGTCCTTGTGTGTCAATATAGCATTGGCCAGTCCTCTCCTTTCGAGATTTGACCTAGTTCTTGTCTTGCTGGACACACAAAATGACCAGTGGGATAGAATTGTATCATCTTTTATCCTGGAAGGCAAAGACCCTGGTGGTTAGTTAAGATTTTTACCTTAAACTTTCTAAAGGCTTTAAAACCACTTATCTCTTCTCCAATCACTCACCCCATCCCTACCTCATTCCGCACTTCAAGTGGTGACATTAATAAAAAATGTTCTCACTTTTCAAATGTTAATCTTTATTTAACTACTTCAGCGATAAAAGATTTTAACAAGATAGTTTCTTATATTTGTTGGAGAATTTATAAGAAAATTCAAGCTTTTTTAAAAAATAATAATAATATCAATTTTTTATTATTATTATTTGCAATTGACTCAAGGACCTCGTCAGTCCCCCACCTCTCAAAACTAACCAAAAGCTGACAGCTTTTGCGGCTCCCCATCTGAAACTCTGTGACATGTTGCCAAGAACTTCTGACTAACCTTTGTGAATATTTCATCCTCCTTATGTCCAGAGTCGGGTGGGGGCATCAGTGTGTGGTCAATGGACAAGATGCAAGCCTACCTGACTCTTGTCAAATCCTTGAATCCACAACTCACTCCACAATCAAGCAGGTAAACACAATCAAGCATGTTCACAAAAAGTAGGTCAACACAATTAAGCATGTACACACAAAGTAGGTCAAGAAAATTAAGCAAATAATCACAATCAAGCACGCAAACACAACCAAGCAGGTTAACACTGTCAGATATCAGGTTCATCTTTGATGTGTTTGCCCTTTCATTGCCAGGAAACATAATAAAAAAAAACCTATTTTTATTTAAATTGAATGCTTTCCATATAACAAGAATTCATTGCATCAAGCTCTCAATAAGAATTATTATTTTTGGTTCTAAGAAAGAGAAAGTGTAAGGACCAAGAATTCTCAGTGGAACACTGATAAAAAAAAAGTAATACAGTTCTTTCCCTTTTTTTAAGTTTGCCTTTCCTTGATGGGTTTATTAAGCTTTGGCGTGGGAAAATGTTGTTGAATCATTAATTAATAGGTTTTTATTTAATTATAATTTACCATACAAAAAAAAAATTTAAATCCATAAACAGGAGGTAGAAACCATATTATCGGTGGAAATGGTTGTATGTATTTCTTTACGATCTTGTGCCAAAGGGTGGTTCTATTTGGTCATAGGGCAAACCAGAGTAAGAGCAGAACACAAAGAAAGTATATATGTAGAGCAAGTAATGTTGTCTTTGTTTTTTAACCTCCGCAGGGTTCTACAGGCTTACTACAGGGCCCAGAGAGGAGCAGACGACCGCAACGCAGCCCGGACAACGATGAGACTGCTACAGAGTATGATCCGCCTCGCTCAAGGTACTGCATTATTGCCCGAATGGGCTCGTGAAAAGATTTCAATATCGTGAAACGATGCGCAAGTCTGAGCGCCTAGGAAAGCCACCGCTTCACAAGTCAGTGCAGGGCCAGCGCCACATTGTTGTTAAGTTTGTGTAACCTTATAGCCTGTTGGGCCTGTTGTGCCTTCACTGAACATAAAGAATAACTGGCTTTGGAGGCAAAATAGTTGCAGTAAGCACACTGCATTCTTTTTGTGCCAAATAACATGAAATGGCCGCATCTTTGTTTACAATCAAGGTCAAAGATACTTAAATGCAATTCAGAGTTACCTGTCCAGCAACACTGAACTGACACAATACTGAACTGACACAATACTGAACTGACACAATACTGACATCTCACAACACTGAACTGACACAATACTGACATCTCACAACACTGAACTGACACAACACTGACATCTCAGAACACTGAACTGACACAACTCTGACATGTCACAACATTGACATCTCACAACACTGACATCTCACAACACTGATTCCCCACTGCATTGCTGTCACATGGGCACTGACAGCTGCATGTTTTCACCAATCCTCTTGTCAGTCACTGAAGTCCCAGTGAAATTAACCTTGACTGGGATAAGTATCCTTCAAATTGATGTAGGAATACGCACAAAAACGAGGATAATCTTAAAGTAAATTAATTTGTATGTTGTTTGTAGTTTTGTTTTTTTAATTTAAAAAATTTCCTTTCAAAAAAGGTCACGCTCGACTTTTGTTCAGGGAGTCTGTGACTGTTCAAGATGCTGTGGTGGCCGTGACTTTGATGGAGTCCAGCATGCAGGTAATAATGATGATGTAGTTCATTTCTAATCCCGTGAAGTGGTTATCTGGCAGCTCATAGGTCTGTTCTGGCAACTGCTGGTTTGGTTTTTCCAACTATAGCTTATATGGTTAACTATTTATGCGGCGATCAGCCATCCATTGGCTGCTGTTTTCTGAATTTTGAGGCAGAGATTTTTTTACTCATAGCTCTCCTCCCTCCAAAGAAATGCTGCCTTAGTTGGCTAACATAAGTAAGATGAACAAGTCTTTTTCCGCATGGCTAATTACCCATAGCTTGGGATCCCCCCACCCCCCCTCCCTTTCCCCCCAGATGACTTGCAACCTTCCTTGTCAAGAGGCATCATCATTCTGATCTAACACCCATTTGGGGCAGTGCATCGATTGGTCATAGGGCAGACATGGCTGATGCTGTGCCGCAGGGCCAGCTGCTTAACTCTGAAATCAGTCAGGGTGAAAACTTCTAGACTCTGCTTTGATGACTGTCATTTCAGGTTTTTAACTTGTGCCGAGTAGGAAACCAATTGTCTCGATCAGCCCTGCACAACTCAAATATAAGGAGGGCTGTAGTACTTTATGGAAAGCTTGTGCGGTCCGAAAGATGACGGGACGGGGGGGGAAGCTATTAGGAAAATAACAACAATAAATTATATTTCGTTACTTTGTGGGCCGCCAAGTGGGTGCCAGAGGGCCGCATGCAGGCCGTATGATGTGCAGGCCTGGTCTAGATCAGTTGGCATCTTTTCAATGAAGGAAAAATGTATTGATCCATCCTGCTGGCGCTGTGTTATGAAATAAAACACTGGTTCATACTGGACAAGTAATGTTGGCCATCTAAACGGGGAATGTCGGTGAACTGAACAGGTGATGTGAGTGAACTGAACAGGTGATGTCGGTGAACTGCACAGGTGATGTGGGTGAACTGAACAGGTGATGTCGGTAAACTGAGCAGGTGATGTCAGTGAACTGAACAGGTGATGTGAGTGAACTGAAAAGGTGATGTCGGTGAACTGCACAGGTGATGTGGGTGAACTGAACAGGTGATGTCGGTAAACTGAGCAGGTGATGTCAGTGAACTGAACGGGTGATGTGAGTGAACTGAAAAGGTGATGTCGGTGAACTGCACAGGTGATGTGGGTGAACAGGTGATGTCGGTAAACTGAACAGGTGATGTCGGTGAACTGAACAGGTGATGTCAGTGAACTGAACAGGTGATGTCGGTTAACTGCACAGGTGATGTGGGTGAACTGATTGGGTGATGTGGGTGAACTGAACAGGTGATGTGAGTGAACTGAACAGGTGATGTCGGTGAACTGCACAGGTGATGTGGGTGAACTGAACAGGTGATGTCAGTGAACTGAACAGGTGATGTGGGTGAACTGAACAGGTGATGTGGGTGAACTGAACAGGTGATGTCAGTGAACTGAACAGGTGACGTTGGTGAACTTCACAGACAATTTTGGTGAACTAAACAATACATGATATGTATACTTCCAGTTTCACTTAACTTAACATTACACCATATATTTTTTTCCACTTTGAATTTCCTACTCCCTCAGGGTGCTGCCTTGCTGGGGGGTGTGAACACGCTGCACACAGCCTTCCCTGAGAATGCAGACAGTGAATACAGACATCAAGGTAAGTCTGTTCATTACAAAATTATTGGAATCTTCATCTCTTTGAACTCTTTATGCCATCATCGCTTAAAAGAAAATTTACTGTTTGTCAGTGGGTTTTTTTTTTTATGTTGGATATCTGTGTAAAATCAATTGTATGCTACACCAACACGGCTCCACAGCTGAGTTGATTCTCATATTTCCTGTCTTCTCCATTGAATTTGCTTTAACTGCTGTTTCTTGACTTCCCATCTGAGTTGATTTCAACTGCTATTTCTAGACCTCCCAACTGGATTGGATCTTGAATTTCCATCCGAGTTGAATTTAACTGATATTTCTTGACTTCCCAGCTCAGTTGATTCTAACAAGACTTGGCCTGGAGGACATTCTTGAGCAGGAGATGGAGCACCAGAGGCAAGTACGAGAACTCGGGGCAACACTCCAGCAACAGGCGCAGAAAAGGCCACCGAATAAGCCCCCTGCGCAGTCTCACAGTTTCCCTGCCTGTCAAGTTAACCCTGAGCTGCCAGACACAAACAACGTCAAGCACAATGCTGACAGTAGATTGAACTCTGGCCAGCACGTTGCTGACAGTAGATTGAACCCTGGCCAGCACGTTGCTGACAGTAGATTGAACCCTGGCCAGCACGTTGTTGACGGTAGATTGAACCCTGGCCAGCACGTTGCTGACAGTAGATTGAACCCTGGCCAGCTCGATGCTGACAGTAGATTGAACCCTAGCCAGCTCGATGCTGACAATAGATTGAACCCTAGCAAGCACGATTCTGAAAATAATCCTGCGCTCTCACCCGGTACATATCTTTCAAAGTTCCCAGCAGCCATGGAAGGTCAAGTTCATTCACTGTACGATAAATTGGAAGTGTCCAATTTCACCAGCTCCCCGTCCAGCTCAGAGATTGCCCGACAGAGCACTCCTCTGAAGTCCAATTTATCTCAACCATTGTCCAGGTCGGATCCCAATGTTTCATGTATTGCGGCAACTAGCCAAGAGCAGACTTTTAACAGCCCAACAAAGACACCCAAAGACACACTAAATTGCTCTTCTAGGAGAAATTCATCCCATAAAAGAATTGGACCACATCGGGACTTTCAAATCAACAACAAAAACGGTTTTAGTAAACTATTTGCCAACAAACACGACGATGACAACGTTGGGGAATTCGGAGATGTCGAGACGTGTGTACAGCAGGAAAGTCTGGAAAAATCTGCTTTGACGCGTATTCTAGAGTGTGGTCAGGTGAGCCCGCCTGAGAAACACATTGATGGGAACACTGCAGAGGCAGATGCTTTAGAGGCGGATGCTCTGCATAAAGAGGGTGAGACAAATCGCGTGGCAGACCAGAATTCAATTGGCACTCTGATCAAACAAAGAATTCACATGATGGAGGTCAGGGGGAGACTGAGAGAGGATCAAGTGGAGGTAAATCTGTTGACAGAAGCCGGCACAAAGAGAGCGGGTAAACTCGGTTACACAAAGGAAGGTGGTGGCAAGAAAGCCAAGAAGCCCGAACACAGAAGAACCGCCGCCAGGAAGTCTGGTAAGAAAGCTGTGAGCAACAAGGGTCATCGTGCTGGGACGGCCGGAGGTACAACTCAACCAGAGAAACATGCCAGAGCAGGAGATTGCGATTTTTCCGCCATTGATTTATTTGAGTTGTCCTCATCTAGTCCCGATGAAAACAGGAGCAGTAACTCAGGTGGAAATGTTATAAACCAGTTGAAAAAAGGCAATTTGCCAAATGGCAAAAAGACTGTTAGTCATTCTAGTAAAACATGCAAGGTATTCCCAGAAACCAAAGTGAGAAATACTTCCAAGAAGAGGAAAGAGGTTTCCCCTGTTGGTGAAGAGGGCGATGACTTTGAGAAAATGTCTACCGCGGCCAATCGGGAAACGACGATCTCTTGTGACAGCTTTAAAAAGAAACGGAAACTGAAAAGCCGGCGGCCTGAAAAAATTAAAGCAGTGCCAAAGATGACATCAGTCTTGAATCTGTCTGCCACGGATGAGGAGACCAACCACCGTTCGTCAAACTCAAATATCAATAATGTATCACATCACACCCCGGATGTCTCACATCACACTCCGGATGTCTCACATCACACCCTGGATGTCTCACATCACTCCCTATCACATTCAGCTAAGACAATTTCCTCATCAACTCTCAATAAACTCAGACAATTTTCTTTCACTAGTTCTGAAACCGATGGGGACAGCTCCACGAAACTTGATGGCAGCTGCTGTCAGTCTGAGTTACGTGACGCTAGAGCTAGCATTCGCCATGACCAGCAGGGGTCTTGTCCAGCTGATGACAGAGATGAGAAGGAACTGGAAAGGGGTCACCAAGAAACCAGCACAAAAGGTGAAGACTTGTTAGATTCTGGAGGGCACCCTGGCTCCGTTGCTGAAGTTGAAGAAGGAAAGGAAGTTAAAATCCCACCAGAATTTTTCTCAAGATTCAAGTATCAAAAGAGAACCACATCTTCCATTGCTGGTCAGACTTTTGTGGCTGATCAGTCCTCCATGGCTGGTCAATCATCTGTGGCTGGTCACACTTCCATGGCTGGTCAATCTTCAGTGGCTGGTCAGTCTGCCATGGCTGGTCAGTCTTCTATGTTTGGGCAGTCTTCTATGGTTGGGCAGTCTTCTATGGTTGGGCAATCCTACATTACTGATCAAGCTAGTAAGGTTCCATCTGTTCACATTGTCTCTGATAAAGATGCGCTGCAGAGTCTTTCGGATAATGTCCACAATCCAAAAATAAATGGCACACCAGAGTGGACATCTATCGTCGACCATTGCAAATATAGGAAAGCCAATAGCATTTTTGAAGTGCCCAGCACTTTTGACAACGATCTAGACAGCCTGGACATTGATGACAACCTGGCTCAGCAAGAGACGCCATTTTTTCCTGCACATTTGAAGGCATGTGGTCAAGATATTCCCGAACGGAAACGTCTGAGAGGAACTCCTTCAATTACATCCCATAAAACTGTGACCCTGCCATCAATGACGACGAGTACCTTGACCCATCCTCAAACTTTGATAGGGCGCAATGTCAAATATCCAACATCTCTAAGCTCTGAAGTTAGCACCGCATCTGTAAATCCTGCAAGAGGGGAAGATACGATCAGTGTGCAGACCTCAGGAGTTTCATCTCAGCGCAGCCCCATGATGGAGACAGGCCCCAGCCAGATCAACAAACCCAGTGGGAAGGTGCAGACCCCAGGAGTTTCATCTCAGCCCGGCCCCTTGATGGAGGCAGGCTCCAGCCAGATCAACAAACCCAGTGGGAAGAAATTCACATTCACCCGACTAAAAGCTGACATGGAGAGGGCCAAAATTAATGCTGGAAATCCCACGGAACAGTTGTTGCAGAGTCAGAGCAGCCATGGGGATGACTCTCAACGTTTCCCCAGTTCTGTCCCTTACATGGTCATAGGATCAAGCCCCACAGACTTCATCTCATCCAATGACAGGACTTGTACTCAAAGAAGCTCTGTATCTCAGTCATCTCCCCACCACAACCAAGTTAAAGGGTTTAATTTTCCCCAACAAGAGAACTCCTCTCAGCAGACATTAAGAGATCCCCGTGATCCATCACAGGGCAGACCCGCAGCTCCCTCCTGGCTCTCCAGGTTAAAGGACAACAAGCTTTCATTCTTACCCGCCACAGATCCCAGGCTTTCATCCCAGGTGTCTTTGTTTGATGATGACCTGGATGAATTGTTGGATTCTGACCTTTGACACCACCCCCTTCAGGTCTAAACTCATCAAGAGCATGGCTGTGACCTGGGCAGACCTGTTTACTCTTACAATTTTGGCGTACAATGTACGATTTTGAGGTGTAAACATTATATATACTGTATGTTTATTTTTTACTATAAATATAAGGTATTGAACGATTTTGTGATGATATTGTACGATTTTAAGCCTTTGAGGGTAAACAAGTCTGCCAGGGTCAAGTCCTGCTGGGGAAAAGTCTGGGAACTGACCAAAGATCCCCCCACCCCCCCAAAAAAAAAAATAATATGTATTTATTTCACAGAAAAAAATAAATAAAAAGGACAGGAATTTTGAGGGTAAACAAGTCTGCCAGGGTCAAGTCCTGCTGGGGAAAAGTCTGGGAACTGACCAAAGATCCCCCCCCCCCCAAAAAAAAAAAATAATATGTATTTATTTCACAGAAAAAAATAAATAAAAAGGACAGGAAAGCCACTGTTCCCATGTATTCCTGCAAAAAGGGAGCCCTGGAAAGCTTTGTTGATGTTGGTCTAAACAACAATCACAGTTTTCTCTCAGTCATGGAAACAGTGGGCGTTGGTGTTATCACTTGACTAAATTTGCACACAGCATATTTTGTGTTCGGGATGTACACAGTACATTTTGTGTCAGATACGTACATGATACATTTTGTGTTAGATATGTCACAATACACTTTGTGTTAGACCTGTACACAATACATTTTGTTTTAGATCTGTACACAATACATTTTGTGTTAGATATGTCACAATACATTGTGTGCTACATATGTACACAATACATTTTGTGTAAGATATTTCACAATACATTTTGTGCTACATATGTACGCAATACATTTTGTGTAAGATATGTCACAATATATTTTGTGTTAGACCTGTACACAATACATTTTGTGTTGGATCTGTACTCAATACATTTTGTGTTGGATCTGTACTCAATACATTTTGTGTTAGCTATGTCACAATACATTTTTTGCTAGATATGTACACAATACATTTTGTGTTAGATATGTACACAACCAATTTTCTGTTAGATACGTACACAACCAATTTTCTGTTAGTTATGTCCACAACACATTTTGTGTTAGATCTGTAAACAATGCATTTTTGTGTTAGATGTGTACACATATTTTGTGTTTGATTTAGAATCCAGATGGGTAATGTTTCCACTGCCCAACACCCTTTCTCCTGAAATTAGACCTTGTAGAGAGAAATATTCAGGATACTTTTTCTCCCAGAGT